TACAATTAATTAATATTTTTTTATATTTTAATTGCATAGTACAAATCGAGCCCTAAACTAAAATTTCTGGCTCCCCCCTGAATCTATTATAGTTGCAACTTCATATTACAGGCTGTATAACACGGATGTTTGAGTTTAGTCATATGTTTAAGTATTAAATTTATAAATAATTAAACCCAACCATAGAGGATTACAATCAAATTAATACTCATATTTCTAGATGTTATTCAACCAAAATGGACTTATTTTAAAATAATAATGTAAGAAAAGAAATGTAGAACCAAACTTTCGTACGACATTACAGATATAATTTTTAAGGACCAAATTACCCTTTTAAACTTTTATACTTTCTACTATCTTGATCTATATGCTTGTATAACTTTATGCAAATGTAATACATCTATGTGTTTGTTTAATTAGACATGATAAACACCTATTCTATACCGTCACCAAATGCAATGTATTCAACAAGTGTATTATTTCATGCACAAGTCTTGAATAGCCCCATTTGAAATAATGTTGTCAGGCCTTAGAGATGAGTCCTGCACATGGGGATTGCTTGGTCATCATTGGAAATGAAAGCCGTTGGGATAATCAATGTCCTTTGATCTCAATGCCTCAATTATGAAATTAGAATGAAATTATATAAGTATTGATAGTTATTCAGTTTCTCTCTCCTTCAAAGTTGGGCGGATGGAAAAATAAGAAGAAATGAGAGATGTTTCATCCCTCCTTACTTTCTCCCTAACTTCTCTTCCCTCCAAACAAACACAAAAAGCTTTATCCATCCTTTCTCAATCCTTCTCTCTAACCGAACATATCGTAAGTGATGATTTTGAACCAAAACTTCTATTTTACTTTTGTTATGTTGTATTGTACATGCGTAACATGGTTAAATTAAGGATGCAGCACTATTGTTCAAGCACATATCATTAAATCGAAAATGCAATGCTATTAAATAAAAAATGTAACACTGATTATAAACAATTAAACCGATTAAATGGTGTTGCATCGTCAAAATAATGATGTGGTATCTTTGATCTAATGGCATTTCATCTTGAATTAGTGGTGTTGCGTGATTAATTGCTCAATTAATCGTGTTGTACGTGTACAACACAATATAAGCATGAAACCATATACAATAGAAGATTCGATTCCTAGTCTCCTCGTCTGAACTGGACATACGAATTCACATAATAACACAGGCAAAATAATTTTTCTCATGTCATATCAACTGACTTTGGCGCCATAATAACCATTTTCTCGATGTACCATATGTGGGTCACATTTTTTTTTTTTATTTTTTTTTTTTATTTTTTTTTTTTTGTCTTTGCAGCTCCTATTTAGAGGAAAATGACACAGTGTGCTTCTTCAATTTCAAACTCACAATGATTTTGGTGTACTATCCCAATAATGACCTTTTTAACCATCCAAACAAGGACTTGGAATTGGACCCTTTCCCATTCTTAATAATCACTTTGTCCCAAGAGTTGGGGTTTGGGAAGACAATGGTCAATGGGGGTCATTATTTTTTTTTTCTCCATATGAAATGATGTTCTTCAATGGTTGACTTTGAGCTTAAAATAATGATTGATTCAAGTCATAGTTTTCGATTGTTGATTGCTCCATTAGAAACTTCTTTGCCCTAGACATGGTGGTCAACTGCAACAGTTGGCTCTCTTAGAAAAAATTGGAAATTTGACTAGAAACTAATAATGATGTTCTCGAGTATTTTGCAATTTTTCCTCCTCCACACATATCACGACATGTTTTAATTTCAAAGCTTGATGTTTTTTATTTTTTATTTTTTATTTTTATATCTTTCTCTTTGCAGAATTCAGATTCCATTCACCTCCATCTTTAGTGCTGATAATAGCAAACAGCATTTGACTTTAAAATCTTCTGTATTCTATTCAGAAATAATATAAGTGCATTTGATTCAAACCCAGAAAATAAAATACTCATCTGGTTATTTATTTATTTATTTATTTTGGTGAGTAACAGTTAGTAGTATTGCAGTCCGCTTTTGATGACTTTTGAGTTGCTAAAACCATATTATATATATATATATATATATATATATATATATATATATATTGTAGATAAATTCTGTCTATATAAGCAAGGGCTAGTAGTATTTTCTCATTTCTTAAAGTAGAAAGTTCGAGGGTTAAGTCCTAGGGGACAAAGCCGGTCATGGTTTTTAGAATTACCACACATTTACTTAGAAAAAAAGAAAAAGAAAAGAAAGAGAGCGCATGTCCATGTGTCTATATGTGTGTGTGTGTGTAGTTCTTTAGAATTACTACACATTACTTAGATGTTCAATAAAAAAAATTTACAACATAATTTTCCAATATATGTCTGGGATTTGATGGCATTTGAATTTAAACCAAGTTAAATCAATAGAAGGGTTTCTTCATTTGTCCATTTTGGTGTTGTCAATGAGAACATGCATTTTTGACAAGAAGGCATCTAAATAAATAATAATACTCACATAATGATATACATTATATGCACACTAAAAAGAAAACAAATATTCTGTTTCATCAAACAACTTAGGGGGAAAAAAAAAAAAAAAAAGAGAGAGTAGTGATACTTTCACCGATACTTGTTGTGAAAAATCTTATATCTTTCAATTTTTAACCCTTTTCTCCTTAGAAAGCTAGGCACTCTCACTGAATTTGCACCCCATAGACATTGGACGGCGAGTTCCATCCAATGACTACGAGGGCACGAGCTGTATGCGAGTGCCCTCCTAGACTTGCTCTTCACATTCGCGGATTATTCGTGTTCTTGGTGCCTTGGAATGGTGGATGGTAATGATAGAAATTTGCCTCAGGCCATCCTGCAAAGCTCTTCAGTAAGAGTAACCTCCAGTTTTGACATCTGGAAAACCTTTCAGGTTACAAAAGAGACGATGTATTGAAGATGACAACCGAGCAGATTCTACACATTCAATCTTTACATTTGCCGATCAGGATGACAAAAGAAGCTGTCAGTTGCCCCTGTTTCAGATGCATGGCAAAAATAATAATGATCTACTAGTTCTAAAGTAAATGACGTTCGAAACAAATCAACAATGAATGAATTCTGCATGTCAAAAATAAAATAAGATAAAATTGACAAAGGGAAACATAACATAAATAAATACTACAGGACCACAAAAATCTCATCTTCATTGTTTTTGATCAATCATTTTTTCTGTCGTTTAGGCGAAGAACTGAACCAAGAGAATTCTCTTTCTTCATCATCAATCGAATCACTGTCGCGATATATAACTTGATAAAAGTCTCTTTCTGGGGGTTATTAGTTATTACACCTTTTCTTTCGAATTATTTCTTCGATTAAAGCAGAAGCAGCCATGTAACAACCAAGAGTTCAAAATACGATTTCATTCGAGTCAAACCATGTTGAATAAAGTGTCGAGGGTCGTTTATGGAGATCTACCGAAGACATGGAAGACACAGCGCGAAGAACATAGCAGAATATATGCATCCTGAATCACACATTTAGGTCACAGGTAAAATGACCTTAGAATGACCCCATTTGACCTAATTTGATCTTGGTTGGGCTCATAAATATGTTTTAAAAGTGTCTTTGAATAATAGGTTGCAAAACTTAAGCTTTAAATGTTTTTCGAAATTGGATCTCAAACTAGGAAACAATAGTTGTTGATCGAATGGTCCATGGATGAAGCAGTTTTCAGAGGGGATCAATTGAATGGTTGATTGGTAGAAATATTCCAGGTAATTTTTTTTTTTTTGTAAAAAAAAAAAAAAAAAAAAAAAATGCATCAATTGAAGTGTTGATCGATTGAATGTTGTCTAGGAGGCTTCGATCGATCAAACCTATCAGACATGTATTTTGGTAACTCTCTCAAAATATAATGTTACAAGGTTTTGACTTCCTAAAACATATGAGACTCCTATATTGGCTATAAATATGGGATTATAGCCGGTCTAGATATGAGTCTAACATCTCTAATCATCAATAAAGAGAGAGAGACCTTGAGAGTGTTTTACTCAATCTGGGGTTTCCATAGACTATTCTATAATTTCTGTGTGACTGAATATTCATCAAGGAGAAGATATCAATCCGATCCAAAGCAACTAAGCTAATCAAAGCAGACATGGACAAGCAATCACCAAATAAGCAGGTTCGTGAAGAGCAGAAGCTGTTAACGAGTGGATGAACGACCTGGAGACTTTTGGGGAAAAGGTTCGGAAGTCATCTATGTCTAAAAGTAACAAGGAGTTTGAGGGTGAGTGATTTGTTAACCTAATTTGAGGGTGTGTGAGAGAAAAGGAAGAAGGGGATCGTGTCTAGTCCCCACAAAACCACTAAACCAGGAATTTATTATTTTGTCATTCAAGTTCTAGGGATAAGGTTTTTCTTCCTCTTATATTTTTTCTACTCAATTTAAGGTTAGGGATTCTATCTTTTACTTTTTATTTTTTATATCCGAACTACTATTATAACTACTTTGTAGTAATTTTAACTTAGTGTAAGCAATTGTTATATATGTGTGTGTGCGTGTCTGCATAAAAGGCTGTGCAGTCCCATTTAAATTAGGTCCACCAAATAGCCCATATTGTAGTTCACAGTGATGTAGGACAAGAGAGTAGCCTTAAATAGCTAAGAACTCAAGAATTCAGAAGTTGAAAGTTCAAAGAACTAGGGCTGAAATTTGGAGGTTCGATAGTAGAAATGTAGAAAAACAAAGGAGAAGTGGTTGGAAATTCAAATAAACAGATTGGTAGAGAGAGGATTGAAAACAACAAAAACCTATTGGAATCACTCCAATAAGGCCTAGGCATCAAACCTAGAGAAGGCCTCACACGCTCATAATTTGTGAATCACTCACAAAGAAATCTCAAAGATATTTTTATTCATTTATTCACTGTACAATCGGAGTTACATGGTATCCTTTTTATAACAACTGATGACCCTTGGATTACCCCACAATCAAGGTAATCAATAGTTGACGCTAGCATAACTTCTTCCTTTTTTTTTTTTTTTTTTTTTTTTTTTTTTTGATAAGTAAAAGTTTATTAGAAAAGCGTTCAAAAGTGGAACGCGTCCCTAATACACAAAACGAAAATTGAACCTAAGGACCAATAGAGTCCAATAGATCAATTAAGCCATCAGTCGAGGAGCAAGCGCTTCCTCTTACATAACAGAAAAGAGAACGGAGAAAATGGATTTTTAAATTTGCCAAAGACGATTCATTTCCTTCAAAATTTCTGCTATTTCTCTCTCTCCATATACACCACCAAACACAGTGTGGAACAATCCTCCAATAGTCACGAACATGACCTTTGACTGGGCATTTTCTCCAAGCGTTAATCAGTTGTATGGAGGATTGAGGCATTACCCACTGAACGCCAAAAATGCTGAAGATGAGATTCCAACAATCGTACGCCATAGGACAGTGCATAAGAAAATGAACTGGCTCTCCAAGTTCAGCACTTCTCAGGAATGGTTCCAGAAATTGGAATAAATCTACGAGCAAGCGTTGAAAATAAGGCCACCCCTTCTCGGAGTTTCTTGTCAGCAATTCTGGCACGAAACTAATGTGACTCAGCAACTTAAGCCACGCAAAGCTAAATGCAGGAACTTTAAGGGGATGCAAAGCATGGAATGCATTTGCAAAAGCAGTCAGAAAGTTACCACCATCAAAGACAGGTCTAAGGGAACGCAGGTCCAGCAGCAAGTTCAGGAACAACCCAAATAATGGCCTTGGATCAAAAGATGTTGTCTTCTCCTCTGCATCTTTCTAAATAAATGTTACGGTTGCTGCCAAAACCTTAGGCAGAAGAGAGAGTTGAATAGATCCATGGTCAACAGAGCAGAACTTGAGGATTGCAAAGACAAGTTTTGCATCTATATCGGTAGCATGGAAAGACAATGGTTGTACTTGTTTAGATGATTGCAAAGGATCAAAACGAATCACCTCAGAAGATAGGTAATGTGATATGGAAAGTTCCATGAGGTGGCAACGGAAACGGTCTGATGTATCATCCCCTTTTAGAAGTCCACTGTGCTGCAATTGCAAGACATAATGGGCACAAGCTGTGTCATTTGCATGAGGAAGTTGACATATCCAGCGCCACTCTGCAAATAGCACGGAAACCTGCTCACGAAAACCAGCAAAATCTGGTTCCACTGGCTTTGGGACATTATAGTCTTCCCTACCAGCTGCAGAATGGCCAGCAGTGCTTTTGTCTCTGGGTGTTCTGGTGTTATTCTCCTTCCTGACAGGTAAACCGCCAATGCACTAATGCTGGCAGAAGGATTCCTTGCAACCTCAATCAACTGTTGCAATGACTTCGGAGAACTAGGCCTAGCTGCAAGCTTTGCCTGTGCATCAACAAGAATATGAAGTTCCAAAAATGACACTAGAATCATTGATCACCAACATCTGAATAAGGGAAATTGCAAACTCAGTAGCAGACTTTTTCCTACCAACATCAATTAGTCTTGCCATATGCATGTTGTATTCCGTACGGTATAGCAAGTCCTGGTGTATAAGACAGACCAAGAATTATAACCGTGTTAAACTTCCTCTCCTCATCTGAATAAATCCCCAGAATATAAGTACTATTATCAATTCAAGCCACTTTGAATGGTTGTGGATATGGTCGGATGGACAGTTTGAGATGCTCAACATTTAGGTTGCCACCGCCATCAATAATAGGCTTCCGAGCTTGGTTTCCACAATGAAATTGCATCTGAAAATTAGAGGTAAGCCACCCATCTTCGTTTTCAACTTCAGGGTCTTCAAGGATTCGGGCTGTGGAAAGTTTGAGACGTTTAACCATGGATGTGGAGACAACATTAGGGCTGCCACCGCCATCAATAATAGGCTTCTGAGCTTGGTTTCCACAATGAACTTGCATGTCAAAATTAGAGGTGAGCCGCCCATCTTCGTCTTCAACATTACGGGCTGCGAGGATGTGCCTCCCAATAGAGATGGATGGAACATTCTCTTCATCCTCTTCCGGACCATCAGTGCTGTAGGTTTCATGGTCAAGCAGGTTCTCATTAACCTTGCTAGCCATAGTACTCTTTCCTTCAGGATCAGCCATGCTAGAGAAAGATGGTTTTGATCCATCATTTGGCAGCATTGTTGTTGTTTGTGTGCGACAAATTCCATCACTTAGCTTCTTTGTAATATCTACAGCAACATCATGTGGCTCATGATGATTCACCTCTAATGAATTTCTTGGAAACTCCAACATGAGATAGAGTGGTGGATCAGCCTTCAAATTACGCCTTTGCAGAGAGTGTAAAGGCTGTTGTTGCTCGCGGTTTCTGCCATCATTAGTACCAAATGCAGATCCTTGTTCAAGGGCTGCCGATTTGTTAAAAGGCTGCGAAATTCGAGCTCCTATCTTATCGCATCGAGCATTCAGCCCTTTAAATTGTTTCAGAATATGTGACAACAACTCAATCTTCTGATTATCATCCAATGTTTCATCGCTAGATCGAGTAAACATAATGTCTACTTAGGCTCTGATACCAAAAACTGATGTAGGACAAGAGAGCAGCCTTAATTAGCTAAGAACTTAAAGAATTCAGAGGCTGAAGTTCAAAGAACTAGGGCTAAAATTTGGAGGTTCGATAGTAGAAATGTAGAAAAACAAAGGAGAAGTGGCTGGAAATTCAAATAAACGGATTGGTAGAGAGAAAGGATTGAAAACAACAAAAACCTACTGGAATCACACCAATAAGGCCTACGAATCACACCTAGAGAAGGCCTCACACACTCATAATTTGTGAATCACTCACAAAGAAATCTCAAATATATTTTTATTCATTCACAGAGTAATCGGAGTTACATAGTATCCTTTTTATAACAACCGATGACCCTTGGATTACCCCATAATTGAGGTAATCAATAGATGACTCTAGCATAACTTAAGTAACAAAAAACTTAATTGATGCAAATTACCATAATAATGCAATTAAACCATAATTGATGCAATTTACCAAAATTATGCAATTTGACCAAACCCCCTAATTATGCAAGACTCCAAGTGGACCCCACTTCATCTAACTTGTGCCAAATTAAACCTAGAGCCTTAGAGCCCTCCTTGCCACACCTTCTATAATCTTTAAAAGGCTATTGCCACTGTTCTCTACCACATAGACTCAAATTCCATTAAAATACAAACAAAAAATATATATGTTTGTATCCAAAAGTAGAATTGTTATCTAACCAAACATCTCCAAGAAGAAGATAAGATTGCAATCTTATCTCCTCTCCCTCTTCCCCAGGTTCATTAACGACTGTTAGGTTCTCTCTCCTCCATCCGAACGTCTCTCTCATCTCCTCCATCTCTTAACCTCTCTCTCTCCCTCACTCTGTCATTCATGGCTCTCGTTCTTCTCTCTCTCTTCCAGCCGTTGCTCTCCTATCTCCTCCATTTATTCACATATTTAAATATCTTATATCACTTCATATATTATAGTTTGAATGAATACACACAAACATACACAGATATATACGTATATATCTCTTCATCTTCTCTTTTTTTTAAAAAAAAAAAAAATTGAACCGATGTGTCCTCCGGCGTTTCTGACCTATGAAAAAAAAAAAACAAACAAAAAAGGTGTTAAAAAGGGGACACTTCTACATAGTGTCGAACATGTGTCTGAGGTGTCCATGTCGAACATGTGTCCGACACTGGTGTGCCACCCCTTTTGGACGTGTCAGTGCTTTAGAGCACAAAACCCAATAGCATTCGTGAACATATTGGTGCTCTCTCACAAAACTCAATAACATTCTTTTTTTTTTTTCTTTTTTTTCTTTTTTTATAAGTAGGACTGTATCAAGAATATAGCATTTATATGACCATATTGGTGATTGCATTTGCATTCATAATATTATAAAACAAAAACTTTTTTTTTTTTTTTTTTTTTTTTTTGACATATAAAAATACATATTTTTTTACTATCATATCCTAGTTGTACTAGTATCTTTTTTTATTATTTTTTTATTTATAGATTTGTCTTATCGCCGTATCCATGCCGTGTTGTATCCCTATCTCTTAAATAAGTGTGCTTCATTGAGAATAGCCATTCTTTCAGCTCTTGGTAACTTTAAGCAGGACACATTTTGTCAACCCAACTTTAGATCATGATACTTATATTGCATGACAAATATCATTTGATTGGAATCTAATCAATTATATTATATTTTCCTTGATAAAACATCATAACAAAGGTATTAATTTGAGTGACATTGATGGGACAACTCTCAATCTCAACTTAATTTAAATGTTGTCTTGCATGACAAGAGAGAGACATTCAATTCAACAATTGAATTTCCAAAAGGTAACCCTTCATGAAATTATTAAGGGTGTTAGAGGTCTAATTTCACACACATTGATCAATTAAATATTTATTATTATTAACACTCGCATACCCACTTTACCCCTATGGGTACTTGGACTCTCGACCTTCTACTTGGAAAGCGAGGAAGTACCACTAGGCTACAACCCTTAGGGGTGTAAGAGGTCTAATTTCATTCCATCTTTTAATTTATATGTGTGAGATAAATTCCTATTCTAAATGACAAAGGCAAATAAATTCGATAATAGGGTTAATGATTACAATGTTAGCAGAACTCGTGTACATGTATTGAGTTCAAGTATGTATTCGAGCGTCCGGTATATCAAATCCTCAGGTATAAGAACACTGCTAAATAGTCATATTATTTAATAATTTCTTTCACTTGCTGAAGTAAACTAATGTTTCTATTTAACGTAGTGTTCAAAATAGGCATTTAACTTGTTTTGCACCAATGATATAATAGAATTGAATTATTGGATAGGCTTTGCAAGTACATGTCCAACTAAATGTGTCAAACACATATCCCATACCCTTGTCCAAGTGTCGTTGTTTGCCATGGATATTTCTCATACTTTTGAAGAGTCCATGTAATATATATAATTATTTACCAAAATTACAGGCATGAATCCAAATTTAGAATATGTTAGTGTGTTTTCCATAAGACATTACATATCTCTGTCAATGTCTACAAGAATGAAGAATTAAGGTAAGTAATGATAAGGGGAAAGCAAACCCATCATAGTTACCTGCTGTTCACAGAGACAAGATGTTTCTTTCCTAGTACTGATGTGTCAGATTAAAATTCTCCTTTTCTGAAACTGCTCTTCTACTTCAGTGAGTTACATTAGCATCCAATCAACTTTGTTCCTGAGTAAAGCAATAATAAAATAACATAAATCACAATGTCATTTGTAATATGGGAACTCATTCATCAAAACCAATGATACTAACATATTATTGGAAAGACAGTCCATTCAAATTTGTAATTTTAGTATCTACATTTGTTAAAACAATTTTTTTTTTTTTTTACTGCTGCTAGCATAAGGTTGACACAGACAGATACATTAAAGTTCAGCAGTTCAAAAAACAATTGTTAGTTGCAGGAAAGGACTTCATAGGTAATAGACCAGCAAATGTATGTAAAGTCGAAGGCAACATGAGATACCTGAATTCTCCTTGGCAGTAATCATCTTACTCTTCAACTCTTGAGCAGCATCAGTCATGCCATGGGCATTGTAGGCTTGGATCATGGTAGCAAAGGTGATATTGTCTGCCTTGCAGTTTCTTTCCTTCATTTCCCAGAATAACTGCCCCATTTTTTCCACATCACCAGCCTGACCATAGGCACTGATGATACAGTTGAAAAATGGTGTATCCAGAACTACATCAGAATTATCTGCTTGCCTCATAATTGAATCAACCTTATTCAAAAGCCCAGCTTTACTGTAAGCGCTTACAAGAGAGCAATAAGTTATTGAATTGGGCTTCATTCCTTGATGCTTCATTTTCAAGAAGAATTCTTCCATCTTTTCAATATTTCCAGCTTTCCCAAAGGTTTCTATAACTATATTAAAAGTAACAATCGTTGGGGAGAAGAACCTTTTCCTCATAAATTCCATAACAGACCCCATTTTCTCATACATGCCAGCTTTACCATATGATTTAATCAGGATATTAAATGTTTTAACATCTGGCTTAATCCCCATTAGTTGAAATTCTTCAAACCATTTTTCCATTTTCTCTATCTGGCCATAATCCCCATAAGCCCCAATAACTGAATTAAATGTGAAAACATCTGGAAGGCACGTACCACTTTCAATCATGTCCATCAATGAGCTCTCCATCAGTTCAAACAGTTTAGCCTTACCGTATCCATCAATTATGGTATTGTATGTGACAGTGCCACATTCAATTCCCAGGTATGACATCTCAGTGAGTATGTGTTCGATCAGATCAAAGCGTTGAAGTTTAGTGCAACAGTTGATAAGGATCGAGTAAGTATATACATCTGGTTTGCAATCACAGACTGACTTCATCTCATCAACAGTCTGAAACGCCTTATCAAGGAGGCCACTGAGTCCATATGCACTCATAAGTGCAGTGTAAGCATCAATTGTGGGTCGAAGCCCATCAGACATCATGATCTCAAAAAGCAAGCTTGCCTGCTTGGGCTGCCTACATTTACCAAGCATCACCAACAGCTTCGTGTATGTTTGACATTTCGGCTCATACCAATGTTGCTTACGAAGAAGATCGAAAATCTGTAATTAGGAAAAGCGTATATATCTCAGAATTAGTTACAAATTAAGAAGAAATTATACAGCATATAGATAAAGTGAGACCAAAATGCCAAAAGTAATACTGGCTGTCACATTCAAGATTTTGCCTGGTTAAAATGTGATAACAAATTTTTGCTTAGAGATTCCTATAGTACATATGCATAAACTGAGTGTGGAAAATGTGACTGCCAAGATGGATGCGCAGCAAGGCAAAAAAGGTTAGAATTAGAAAACACATTTGCAGGGTGGTTGAAATAGCACCAATTGTAGATAAAATGAGAGAAAATTGATTAAGATGGCTTGAACGTGAGCAAAAGAAGACCACTAAATGCACCATTAACAAAGAGTGAAATGGCCCACGTTAAGGCCAATGCTAGGGGAAGGGGAAGATCAAAATTAACATGTAGAGTTGGTAAGGAAAGATATGATAACATGTAGTTTGACTGAAAATATGGCCTTAGATAGAGCAGAATGGAATAATAGGATTCATGTAGCCAACCCCATGTAATTGGAAAAAAGGCTTTGTTTGTTGTTGATGTTGTTGTTGTGGATTCCTCCGGCACAAATCAAGAAAAACTTATTACTTCCTGGTAAAAATCATTAAGCCAAGTGATTAAACAACAAGAGGCACAGCAACATATACATAACATAACCCAAATATAAAGCATTTAGTTCTAACGAGAGTTCTTCTATTCATTAGTAGGATTTTTCAATTTGAAGTTTTGAATTGAATTCTATTATTTATAATATTTTCTTATTTTGGAGATTTCTTCACTAACTAGAGCAAAATAACAATAAAAAAGGACTAATAGTAAAAATTAAAAAAAGAAGAAACAATCTTTCTTTTCCTTCTACATTGGTTTAGAGAGTCAGAAAGTAGAGAAATTCAAAATAACCTCTAATTAACTGCAAAAGAAACAAATCCATTTAATATTTCTCTTTTGTTCAATTGTAAGTTAAAATTTACTGGATTACACTATTGACGCAATCCCACACACCCAGGAGTGGAAACACAAAAGACAGCAAAGTTACTTCCATAAACTCATAACATTTACCAATTCAATGAGAACACAAGGCATAATTTAAACATTTGCAACAAGAAAGAGTACCAAACAATCCAATAATCACAAGAAACAAATCCATCTCATTGGCTTCATCTTACAAGGAAAAGGAATCAACAAATATGTTTGAAACTACAACATATTTCACAGACCCATAAACCAAAACACAAAAAATAATCATATATATAAAGAACCAAAAAAAAAAAAAAAACACAGAGAGTAAAAACGAGAAACCCGCTAACCTTGAGAGCTGATTCCCACTGATTCTTTCGTATTGCATCGTCCAAAGCCTCCAAAACCGCTTTAGGCCACAGACGATTGTATTTCGTGGAGTTTGCTTTTCTCTCAATGGCTTTAATGGCCGCCTCCGTTCTCAGAATCCGCGAGAGTTCTTTCTTGGTTTCCCTCTGAAGCCCTTGAGAGGAATTATCAGAGCTTTTCTTGGCTGCTTGAACTAACAATGATGGTGGTCTTGATGGGTTTGCTGTTTCAGTGAGGACTTTTAACGAACGAGTGGTGGATGTCAAGAAAGAGGACGACCAGCTCAGTTTAACCGAATCAAGAACGTGAAGCTCCATGGTTATGGGAGTGAAATGGAATTTAGAAAGCTTGTTGGAGTACAGAAACGAATGGAGAGAGGCGCAGGTTAGCACGATTGGGTGACTGGAGCTCCATTGGCACAGGTAGTGGAAGTCGCGCTTCTGAAATTCGGTTTGTTTCCTTGGAAAGTGGATCAGAATTCAGAAGAGTCGATATCTAAAACCCAATCGGATAATTCATGGATTTGGACAATGGGCTTCAGTTTGAAGATGCTGGGTAGTGGGCCTCCACTTCTTTTGGGTTACTTACTGAATTTGTACACGGCCAAATGGGCCTCCTTGGGCCGCTTTTCTACCTTACCCATTTAATTATTTACACTACATGTTAAGACACAAATAGTGAAAATTTGAGCGACGGCGCACGTGAGAGCGGGAGCGAAACCTGAGAGTGACACCTGTTTAAAAGGATTATGTGACTTAGCCACCCACCTTACCTTACAACTGGGTTTTGAATGTGAATGGCAGATACATACATATGTGTGTGTATGTATATATATACACTTATCGATATTTATTGGTTTGAATGAGCCTCTTCTAGTGGACATTTTTATACTCCGTATGTCATTTGTGAACAAAGGCAGATCCAGGGTAGGCGGCCCACCCTCATCATACTATTTTAAGCCCAGCCCCCCCAAAAAATATATATATATTGATAATTCACAACAAATTAGTCCAATCCAAGATTAATTTACCCCATTCAAAAATGTTGAATCCGTCCTGATTTTGTGAAGGAGAAAAAAAGCACCGCACAATTATGGGGAAGGAGGGAATCATGAAAATATGTCTCATTTGATTACCAAACATCTAGTGGAGGTGGTGGTGGATGGTTGTCACTAGCTGGTGTGGGCCCTACTAAGGCAACCACACTTTCAACATTGAGACATATTACGAGTCCTATTGAGCATACACATGGAAAATGTTCCCAACTTCAAATACTTTCATTATTTCTTGTTGAAAAATAATAACTCTTTCTTATTTCATGATACATGACTAGGACATAAAGTTTGTTACAGTATTTGATATTTCCAAATCTTAATTTTAAGGTTTCATTTATTTTAATATTACCACCCAGATCTTGATGGGAATAAAAATAATAATGAAGGGATCGAGAATAGCATTTCCCTCGTTCTCACTGTGGGAATACAAAAAGTTGTCATTACTTGGTCAAACAACTTGACCTCAATGAATTACGTATCTCTGGGATTTGGAAAAGGTTGCGAGATTGGTAAATGTTTGACATAATTCATTTAAAATTATTATACATATATATTTACAAATGTTAATATTCAAAAATAACAATATAACATATTTGTTGGGTAAGTAATGTAAAAATAAAGACATAGGGGCAGCGATACCCAAAAAAAAAAGAAATCTGAACTTCTAGTTGAGGCCTTTAGTCTTTGATCCAAGGCACCTGTGCTTTTTTTGTTTTTTTTGGGTAAATAAAATTATTTTACCCGTGTTTTTTCCTTGCTACAGTACTACTGTGAGGGAGCCTATGATGTTATTGTATAGTTATTTTGTTCTCATTGTGTGTTTGTTTGTTTGTATAATTAAAATTATTTTACCCGTGTTTTTTCCTTGCTACAGTACTACTGTGAGGGAGCCTATGATGTTATTGTATAATTTTTTTGGGTAAATAAAATTATTTTACCTGTGTTTTTTCCTTGCTACAGTACTACTGTGAGGGAGCCTATGATATTGTATAGTTATTTTGTTCTCTTTGTGTTTTTTTTTTTTTTTTTTTGAACTTGCTTTTGAAAGTGATTTTTATTTATTTATTTATTATTGATGTAATTGTTTGATTGTTGTTTCTTGGAGCCTATGGTGTTACTGTGTAAGTCATTTTGCTCCCATTATTATTATTTTTTGGCCTGCTTTTGGAAGTGGGTTTTTTTTGTGATTTAATTGTTTGTTTCTTGTTTATTGTTGTTTATAACTTGTAAGTGGTATCTCTCTTTGTTTCTGCTTGGTTGTTTTGTTGGGAATAAAATGTTACTTGGGGAAAAAAATAAAATTAAAAATACATGCCTTGCATAAAATGTATAAAATCAATCCATTGTGTGACAGATGGAAAGGAAAGTAAGACGGAAAGACTACAAGGAAATGAAAAGAAAAGGGTGGAGCCGATTTTCTTTGTTTTAAAAAAAAAAAAAAAAAAAAGGAAAAGGCGCAAATCTCTCCCTTGCTACCCAAAAATAATGATAATAAGTTCTACACCCAACAAAATGAACCCATTTGTTTACATTTATTCATTTTTTTTTTTTTCTTGACGTTTTGCTTTTGACTAAAATAGAAACAGTGTTTTTGTTGTAAGAGTATTTTAGAAAAAAATTAAAAATACGTTTGGAAACGATATTTTGCAGTGAAAATGTCGAAAACAGAAACATACACAGTAGGGGTGCACAAGGTGCAGTTTGGACCGGTTTAAGAGTTTTTTAGAACCAAACCAATTCTAACGGATTCATAAAATTTGGAATCAAACTGAACCATTTGACCAAATGAACCAAACCAAGCCAAATCGTGAAAAGACCGGTTTGGTTCGGTTTCACGGTTTTTTTTTTTTTTTTTTACATAAGTATTCATATTTCAAAATCTACATATACAACAATAAATCAAGTTACCAACACATTTAGAATTATTAATATCTTCAAAACTTTCAATTCATTATTCTTTATCACTTTTGGAACTGAAGTAAATAAATTCAGAATTGCTAGTAACCTAATACATTTAGAATTACTAATTCAACAACAAACATTAGTCACTATATAAAAAAAATAAAAAAGAATCATCTAATAAATTGATAAAAAAAGAGTGGATCATGTGATTAATAGTTTGTACAAATTTTTAAGTGATTTGGATTGTAAAATTATATTATATTATATATAATGTATAATTTAACATATGAAATATATATATAAATATATATATAACGTAACGGTTCGGTCCAGTCTAACCCCTCAAACCATGACCAAACCATATCTTCACGATTTCCCAAATTTAGAATTGTGACCAAACCAAATCATTATTAGCAAACTAAATCAAACTGTCCGGTCCGGTTTGATCCAGTTTGTATTTTCGATTTGACCGAATTTTTGTATACCCTAAATGCACCGTTATGATTTTGGATCATGAACATTTGCCAAAATAAGAAAAAATATATTTTTAGTATTTTGATTTTGGGTCACTGTTCACGTATTGTTTCAGTACGGTATAAAATAAAACAAGATCACACCAAATATGATTTTATTATTAAGATCAGTATTGTAATAGTCCAAAAATAAAAATAACACAAACAAGATGCATACCAACGGAGCAATCAACTTCGGAACCGGTATTGTCTTCTCCCGAACTGCATTGTTTTCCTTTGAATGATACAATTTCTTGTGAAAAATAAAAAAAACAGAAGGCTCGTAAACTATTTGACGGTGCCAACTTTTCAAATACTCCGTAGTGATGGAAAGTCAAGGACCATTCTAGAAGAAGAAATTTCAAAACACTGTAAAATGAATAGGTAAAAGTCAATGAGAATTGCGTGATTTAATTAGGTTAATTAATTAATACATTAATTGAATACGTAACCAACACAATGAATAACAATTGACCTGTCACCGGCACGCGGCGAATATTGCATGCCAATTCAAATCGACGACGCGGTTTCTTTACCAAGTCCTAATCGTTACAAAGTACTAAGAATTATTTCACGAATGCCCTTATATTCTGCTATATTTATGTTTAGCCCTTATATTCCGCTATATTTATATTTAGCTCCTGATACTATTTGTATCTACAGTTTTTACCATTATAATCATGGATCAGGATTTCTTTTTATGAAATTCCTTGAGGAATAAAGGCAATAGTTTGTGGTTGAGCTTAGACAATGAGAAATATCCCAAGTCCATAATTCAAATCGGGATAGAGAGACACGGACCAAATATTAGGCTGATTGGGATTTTTTTTTTGTCATATTCTGTTAGGTACCAAACTAATGTTTATATATATATATATATATATATACACACACATACATTTTGGGACAAAGTATATGGTTAAGTGGTTGTATGCATGTCCAAATATTTGTGGAACAAAAAAAACAACTCATAAATCATAACAATTGTGATGAGGTGCTTTTTATCATAGATTTTTTTCTTCTTCTTCCTCTTTTTTTTTTTTTTTTTTTTTTTTTTTTAACATACTATTTTAGCAAAAAGTTAAAGAAGAATGGTTGTACGAAGTCAATAGCATGACAGTTTTTTTTTTATGAGTTCTCTATATTTTCATTGTAATTATGAAAACATATTGAGACGTGTATTTAAAAATTATAATCATTTAAAAAGAGACTTCTGTAAAATCAATCAAATCTGACACTAAAGTAATATATTTTATAATATTTTGAGATATTTCTTTAAAACGATATTATCAATTTTTTTTTTTTTAACTCTCATTTTAATAATGGGTACACAATGATATCAATTGGATACTATTTTTTGGATCTAAAATGTACTAATTTAAAGGAGAGTTTATGACAACTAACGCTGATAAGGACATGAGGTCCACTGCATCATACCTTACACGAAGTTTAAATAAATAAATATTAGGGGTAGCAATTGCAAATAGTACACTAAGATATTAGGTACTTACACAAATTTATTAAAAATATTTATCAGATGTGAAAAGGATTAAGGAAAAGACAACGAGACGATAGCTGTATAAGTGTATATATACATGTATATATATATGTGGCAAATACAAGCCTGAAGCAAACCATTCTCACCTCTCTTCCCCATTTTATGGACTCTTACAATTGGGACGTCTTCTAACATTTTTTCCAGTCTCTCTCTTCTTCCTTGTTTTTTCCCTTCTTTACTCTGTCTTCCTCTCTCTCCTCCAAGGAAGACAGAAAGCAATATATATCTATAGATATAGATATATAGAGAGAGAGAGATGTCGAAATATGTGGAGGTTTTAGATTTAGGGGTGAGGCTAGCGGCAAGATTCCATTCACACTGCCCACATACGGCCCGGTTGTACTACCACCCACCGGCTAACTCCGACGACAGCCACCACCAAAACCACCACCCACATGGTGGCGCGTCCGGCGGCGGCCTCACCACCGGCGGCGACGTATCGGCCCGGGTTGGT